TGCGCGGTCTCCAACTTAGCGACGGGATCCCTGTCCAAGAGGTAGTGGGGCACCAGCTCGTCGCTTGTGAAAGACACCGGGGCCGACTCCTGTGCCAACATGCCCTGGCTCGCGATCGCCGCCCCAGCGACTGAACCTGAAACGAGCACAGGACTTGCAGCAGCGCGCTCTGCCGCCACCATGTGAAGCCCTTGTTCTCGAGACGCCTGTCCGACCTGGCCCCTGAGCCGCTCCCCCGATTTAAAGTCTTTGACCACCAGAGGGCTCAGGGGGGCTGCAGTTGCCAGGCCTCTAGTCGCGGAAGCCGCCGCCGCGGGGGCCGCTGACGTCGGGGCCGCCGAACCTGCGCAGGGCGGCTGGCTTGGTCCTGGAAGGAGCGGGCAGTCGGGTCCCCAGGTGGGCCTCCCCTACCGCTCCACTCGATGGTACCCTCCTCGCCTTCTGGAGAGTAGCCCTCAAGGTCGTCCATGGGGTCGTGGTCCGCGGCGTCGAGGGCACTCGCTCTCTGCTCTGACATTCCGAACGATATCCTGGCAAAAGGTTAGGATGAGGAAGTGGTGCCGCCTGGAGCTGCTGTTCTCCATGAGCGGGCACGCGTAGGCTCTGACGTTCCGAACGAAATCCTGGCAAAAGGCTAGGATGAGGATGTAGTTCCGCCTGGTGCTGCTGGGCGCGTCGGGCGGACTGACTTGGCACTGGGGCGTCGGCTCTGGTGGCCGACGCTAATTTGACTCCTCTGACGCGAAACCATAGGGCAAGAGGGATGCAGAAGCTAGCCGCTGGGGCAGGTGTGACGTCGTCGTCGATGCGGTAGATCTCGTCATAGGCCTCCTGGAGCTGCTGGTCCAAGGCCTCCGTCCGCTTGCGGTGGGGTGACAAGGCCTTCTGCCTCTTGCTGTTCGGGTCGGCCTGCTTCTTCGGCCTGGCGACTGTGGGAAGCTCACGCGGCAACTGGATGACTCGATTCCACCAGTTGCACTTGCCGTCGCAGATCGATAAAACCAGGCCGACGTGCGTCTTCCACTGGACTTCTACCACAGCATCCAGCTTCAAGGACAGCGCGAAATCCGAGCGGGCAATGCCGTAGTCGATCATGGTGCCCTGGCCAAGGTTGCAGGTGGTGGCGACGTTCGTCGGCAGCACGAGAGAGCCGCCGATCCTGCTGAGCCACTTCGTCTTGTCCCACTCGCTCGGCTGGTTGTTCCAGTCGCCCAGGACCACCCAGGGATCTGCCAATAGCCTCAGGAAGGCAGCCAGTCTGATCATCATGCGCTCGCTCGGCCCTCGGAGACCGAACTTGGGCTGGAGGTAGGCTGCAATGACTATTACGTTCCCCGACTTCGTGTGCCAGGTGGACGGGCAGAAACCTTCGAATGGGTCCTTCGCCGTACGCTCGGACTTGGCCTTTCTCCAGCCCTCGAAGGAGGTGGTCGCGAGCGTCTTCTTGCAGAGGATGGCCTCGCCTCCAGTGGTGCCCGACTGTGAGCGGCCTGTGGGCGTGGAAGGGGTGGCGGTCGCTTTCCACCCATCCTTGGACATGTCGAGATTCATCTTCTCGAGCTTCTCCCCTCGCAGATGGGTTTCCGCGAAGCCGAGCACATCGTACTGCTCGGCCTGGGCCCTCATGAACCGCTCGGAGCGCGGGCCCCACTCCGAGATATTGGCGAAGAAGAGCAGGCCGTCGTTAGGAAGAGGTCAACCGTCCTCCTCCCTTGGCCTGACTGCCTGGGCTGCTGCCGCCGTTGGCATCAGCAACAGTAGGCCAGCCAGCAGCACCGCTAGCCTTAGCCTCGGCGCGCTCCTTGGCCTTGGCGATAGCTTGGGATGCCTCTGCCTTGGCTGCCTCACGGGCCTGGGCTGCGTCGGCGGCTGAGGCGACTGGGGCCGCGGCAGGGGAGGGCACCTCCTCCTTGGCGGCCGCCTCGGCGCCTGGGCCCTGGTGGGCGGTGCCATCGGCCCCGCGGAGCCGCTTGGCTGGCGCAGCTCGGATCTCCTGGACTGACTTGAGCGTGGCCGCGAGCGTCTCCTGCAGGGCGGCAACCTGCTGCACGTGCGCGTCCATCTGGGCCTTGAGGTCGCAGAGTGTCTTCTGCTGGGTCTCGTCGTTCTCCTCGAGATTGTCGGTGAAATCAGCCTCGTTGATCGCCAGCAGGATCTTCTTGCCGTCTGGCGTGTACCCGTCTGGCGGAAACTTCGGCTTGCCGACCGACAACGTGAGAGCCTCGATCGCCTTGTCGTTGACAGCGCGGGCCTGAAGCGCCTCCTCGGTGGCCACGAGAACCTCGTCCTTGGCCTTGGCCAACGCAGCCTCGGCAGCGACCTGCGCGTCGGCCACTCGACGAAGGGCGGCCTCCTTCTTCTGGAGGTTCTGGGCGGCAACGTTGGCCTCCTGCTGGGGCGTGCGCTGCTTGACGAGGCTGGCCGAGTACTTGTGCTCCAACTCCTGCAGGGCAGCCGAGCCTGCCAGGGCTGGGACCGCAGCGAGCAACTGGAGCATGGCTGCTGGGTCCGCGGGGGCAGGCGGGCGACGCCATGGCGGGATCGGGCCAGGGGGCTTGGGCATGGCCTTGCCCTTGCCGCCTTTGCCGCCGTCGCCGCCCTCTGGCTGGAAGAGGTCGATGGAGCGGTTGCACTTCGCGCACTTCCCGTCGTTGGCGATGAGGCGGAAGTTGTAGGCCCAATTGCCACAGCCCCTGCACCAGGTGAAAGGCTGCTTCCGTACCATGGCGGGAGCTGGGAGGAGGAGGAGGAGGAGGAGGAGGGGGAGGAGGAGGAGGAGGAGGAGGAGGAGGAGGAGGAGGAGGAGGAGGAGGAGGGGGGTGAGGAGGAGGGAGGAGGAGGTGAGAGGAGGAGGGAGGAGGAGGGAGGGAGGGAGGGAGGAGGGCGGAGGAGGAGGAGGAGGAGGAGGAGGAGGAGGAGGAAGGAGGGGAGGAGGCGGAGGCCGTCGGGGGAAGAGCGGCGAGGGGCCGCCGAGGGGGCCAGGCGCGAAGGCGGAGCAAAACCAGGGCGGCCGCCGCTGGAGGGCCGCTTCGGTGTGTTTTTTTGGGGGGGGGCGGACGTCCACCGCCACGGAGCCGTCGGGCGCGGGCCGAAAGACATCAAAACATCCGGAATTCGACCACTCCGATTAGAAGGAGAAGGAGGAGGAGGAGGAGCATAATAATAATAAGGATAATAGTAATAGTAATAATAATAATAGTAGTAGTAGTAATAATAATAATCAATAATAATAATAATGATGATATAACAACTAATAATAATAATATAATAATAATGATAATAATATAATAATAATAATAATAATAATAATAATAATAATAATAATAATAATAATAATAATAATAATAATAATAATAATAATAGAAGAAGAAGAAGAAGAAGAAGAAGGAGGAGGAGGAGGAGGAGGAGGAGAAGAATATTAGAAGGAGAAGACGAGAGAAGGATGAGAATAGGGGAAGGAGAATAATAATAAGAAGAAACAAAAACGCAGTATACATAAACGTTTGGCGCTCCGCGCGGCTTTCTTGGATCTGCGCTGGGCCCCCCCCACCCTGGCGCGCGGATCGCGCCAGGGGCGGCGCTGGAGGCGCCGGAAGGGGCGGCCCAGCGCGGATCCAAGGAATCCGCGCGGAGCGCCAGAAGTTTATGTTTCTGCCGTTTTTTCGTCTTCGAAACACTTCGATGCCGTCCACGCCAACTGTGACCCCTCGACTCCCAGAATGGAGTCCCTTGCCGAGTTTGGGCCATAGTCCATTTCTGCGGGCCTTATGGGGGGACCAGCTCTCCCCCGTGCAGGGGGCGTATTGCGAACATGGGGAGATTTCATGGCCCCGTCCATGATCTCCACACAATGCACCCCTTCTTCGCCCCCATCTTCACCGTCTGGTGGTTTTCGGGTCATCACTTGGGCCTCCGGCGGCCCTCCGGGACGATCCGGGCAACCCCAGGAAGCTCTCGACGAGGCGCAGCTGCTGGAGAGCGTCCTGAGGCGAGAAGCCCTCCAAAACCAACGAAACGAAACCGCAGAAAGTCAGGACCAGGGCCCTGAGCCGCATCTGCGAGCGCGTTTCTTGACCTTCGGCGATAATGGGCATTATAGGGGGGGGGGAGAGGGGCCAGGGGGGGGGGGGTACAATGTAACGCCTCCCCCTCGCCGTGCACACGGCGGCAGTGCACGGAGCGCACTGGGGGGGAGGGGCGTTACGATATAGGGGGGGGGCACGGGGGGGCAAGGTTAGGTCGGGCATGTCCTCCTACAGGCGGATTTTGGACGAAACATACAAAATGTTAGAAAAATCGTCCCCTGACTATCTACTACGTTTGAATGTTCCTCCTGTAGAGGGACAGGCCCGACCTAAGGCCAGGGGCTATAATGCCCATTATGCCTCAAGCAATAAAAATACGCGCCCTTCCTGCGCCACTCTTCGAGCCGGGGTCGACCTGCGAGGGCCCCTGGGCCCGAGGCCTGGGCGAGAGAGAGCGCCCGGCTCAAAAAAAGGCGGAGACGCTACAGGATCGCAGGGGCTCCTCGCGGCACAGGCCCCCGCCACGGAGAAGGGGGGGGAGGAGGAGGAGGAGGATGAGGAGGAGGAGGAGGAGGAGGAGGAGGAGGAGGAGGAGGAGGAGGAGGAGGAGGAGGAGGCGGAGGCGGAGGATCAGGAGGAGAAGGAGGAGGAGGAGGAGGGGGAGGAGAAGGAGGAGGAGGAGAGGAGGGGAGGGGGAGGAGGAGGAGGAGGAGGAGGAGGAGGAGGACGAGACGAGGAGGAGGAGGAGACGGAGGCGGGTGGCGGGGCGGGGAGGAGGAGTGAGGAGGTGAGAGAGGAGGAGGAGAGGTGGAGGAGGGAGAGGAGGAGGAGGAGGTGGAGGAGGAGGAGGGTGGAGGGAAGAGGAGGAGGAGGAGGAGGAGCAGGAGGAGGAGGAGGAGGAAAGGAGGAGGAGGAGGAGGAGGAGGAGGAGGAGGAGGAGGAGGAGGAGGAGGGGGAGGAGGAAAAGGAAGAAGAGGAAGAAGAGGAAGAGGAGGAGGAAGAGGGCCTAAGACTGGGCGAGAGAGAGCGCCCGGCTCAAAAGGCGGAGACGCCACAGGATCTCAGGGCTCCTCGCGGCACAGGTCCCCGCCACCCCCACCTGTCACTGCACCGACCTTGCAAACGTGCTGCAGCGGAATTGCGCGTGGACTTCTGCCAACACAAAACCCCGAAACGGCGAGCGTGAAACGAAGTGAATTTCACGTGGATGTATGTTAGTCTTCGTTCCTGGCCCCAAGAAAACTCCGCACGAACCTCGCTTCGAAATCCGGAACGACATTCTCCAGGACACTCCAAGCCCATCCCAGTGTTTTCCGAACGAAATCCGCTCTGCGATTTTGGCGCCACCCCCACCTGGGCCGCTGCCGGTCGACAACTGGCGGGGCAGCGCCACGATCGTGTGGCTCTCACGCCAGGCGGAGGGGGGCCCCTGGAGCGGCGACGCGCGACGAGGGGCCCCACGCATGAGCGACCTCTGCTGCGCGGCTGCCCAGGGGGCCGCGGGGAGGCCGAACCCGAGCGCGAGAGCCGCTGCTACCGCATCGCAGTGAGCCACTCCTCCTCCTCCTCCTCCTCCTCCTCCTCCTCCTCCCATGACGCCCAATTAGCCCGTACCAAAGGTCACTCCACCGCAGGGTCACTCTTACAATCAAAATCTGCAGTAAGGCCGCGCTGCAAGGCCGCAAGACCCTTGGACGGTCATTGGACGCCACAGTTGAAGCTTCTCTAGCGGCGCGCTGCCGAAAAAAACTCTAAAGACGCAAGGGTGCCCTTCGGAAGGCTACACGTCCTTACTACGGATTGTCACTGCACGCGTAGCCGACCTGCAGAGGTAACGCGCGCCACGCCGGCGCCGTGCCAGCGCCGAGCCGCGCGCCCCTGGACAGCCGCCGCAGGGCCTGGGAGCGGCTCCTCGGCGAGTGGCGCGCGAGCCTGGAGGCGGGCCGAGAGAGAGAAGGCCCTGTCTTCATGGCGTCGCGATTTGCCACAGAAGGCCGTTTTCGCTCAATTTCTGGCCCCAGGACCCTCACGGGTCGATCCCGCTCGCCCTGAGATCCTGGCGTCGCAAGTTTTGTCATAACGGCCGTTTTCGCTCCATTTCGGGCCCCAGGACCCTCACAGATCGACCCCGCTCGAAGAATGGTGCAGAAAGACAAGGTCTAGGGCTCTGGTCGTGATTTGTCGCGGTGTCGCAACTTTTTCGCAACGTCGGAACTCAGGGGAGAGAGAGGAGGGAGACCTCTGCACGTTGGCGGTCCGTGACCGTGATGGCTTCGCCTTTGGCTCGTGCTCGTTGCTCAGGAGCCAAGCTCGCAATCGCAAGTTTTGGGCCGGTGCTCAAGCCGGGGTGAGATACAGACACGACGATCTGTAGATATATATATATATATATATATATATATGTTGATATCCGTACAGATATACAAACATATCAGATACAGACCAGAGCAAAACGCTGGGGTGCGTGATTGCGAGGGCGACGGCAAAGACACACCAGAAACAACGTCATATCAATTCACGTCTACCTCACTTTCGTCTCTGGGGCGGGGGGGCGGGAACCAATGACCACCTGGGATCGACGCGGCATCGCCGACAGATCGGCGACAGGCCCCCGATGGGGAGGGGGACGGAAGAGCCCCGCGCTCCTGCGCAGTCGGAGGCTGGGGCACCCAGGCACCCCGATCGGGGAGGAACGCCCCCCCGCGCCATGTTGGCGGCGCGCACAAGGGGGCTGGGGGAGAGGGGAAGGCTTCTTAGAAGGAGGCTGCCTCTTCGAAGGCGCTGGCGCTACATCGACAGAGAAGGCCCGCGCCTTCTAAGAAGCAGGGGTGCTTCTAAGAAGCCTTCTTCGGCCTGCCGAGGCAACCCCGCTGCGCGTGGCCGAGGCGCCTGTACAGGGAGTGTCGGCAGCGCGCACAAGGGGGCAGGGGGAGGGGGGAAGGCGTCTTAGAAGGAGGCTGCCTCTTAGAAGGCGCCAGCGCTTCATCTACAGAGAAGGCTCGCGCCTTCTGAGAGACAGGGGTGCTTCTGAGAAGCCTTCCCCCCTCCCCCTTACCCATCGGTCGGAAGAAGTAGGTAGAAACATGAAGTGGGAAGGCGCTGAAAATAGATTGGGTTCCGTCCGCCCCCGTGGGAGGACGGAAAAGGTGAAGCCACTCGATTGTTGAAGTAGAAAGGCGCCAAAAGCAGATTGGGCCCTGGAAGTCCAAAAACACGTGCTTCGACGTCCGATGGGCACCCACCTCGGCGCGTGGCCGCGGCGCCCCGGGCGGCGAGCAGCGCCCCCCCCCCGCCCCAGGCCCGTGGCCCCCGGAGAGCCAGCCGCCCTCCTCGCCCCCGAACTGCCGGCGCAGCGCCTTCTCCTCAGCGCGGCGGGTGATGGCACCGTCGTCGTCGTCGTCGTCGTCGTCGTCGTCGTCGTCGTCGTCGTCGTCGTCGTCGTCGTCGTCGTCGTCGTCGTCGTCGTCGTCGTCGTCGTCGTCGTCGTCGTCGTCGTCGTCGTCGTCGTCGTCGTCGTCGTCGTCGTCGTCGTCGTCGTCGTCGTCGTCGTCGTCGTCGTCGTCGTCGTCGTCGTCGTCGTCGTCGTCGTCGTCGTCGTCCTCAGCGCGGCGGGTGATGGCCAGGCGCCAGTCGCGCGCCACGGCGCCGCAGCGGCCCAGGCCGGCCACGTCAAGCGAGGCGGCCACCTCCAGCCACGCGCAGAGGTGGGTAAGGGGGAGGGGGGAAGGCTTCTCAGAAGCACACCTGCTTCTTAGAAGGCGCCTGCCTCATCTGTGGATGTAAGGCTGCCGCCTTCTAAAGAGCAGCCTCCTTCTAGGAAGTCCTCCCCCCGCCGCCTGCCCCCTTCTGCGCGCCGCCAACACCTGCTGCAGCGCGAGCGTGGGGAAGCGCGTCGGGGCCGTCTCGCCCTGCACCGCCCAGCGGGCGCGGGAAGCCCAGAGGAGGCCAGGGGAAGAGAGGGAGGAGTGGGCGCTCGAATCGAGGGGAGCCCTCCCAGCGGCCCGGATCCTCCCTTGGGGCTCGGCCACGAGATCCCACTCCACTGACTGCTCCTGCTGTTGTCAGCCAGGAGGAGGGCGCGGAAAAGATGAAGGCGGAGGGGGAGGAGCGCGCGGGTGCGAAAGCCGCCGCTCGGAGAGCCGAGGAGGAGCGGAAGGCGGAACGCGAGGAGGAGGAGGAGGAGGAGGAGGAGGACGACGACGACGAGAACTGCAAAGAGAATGAAACGCAGCGACAAGATCCAGCCACGGAAACCGTATTACATGTAAATCACATGATAACGGAGAAAAAACCAGTCAGAATTTGTTTGGGGCTACAGGGCTATAGGGCTATAAGGCTACTTTAGGGTTGTAAGGCGATAGGGCGATAGGGATATAGGGCTATAGAGCTATAGGGCTACAAGGCACCGGGCACCCGGGCACCCGGCACCCGGCACCGTATACGCGTCACCCGGGCACCCGGGCGTGCACCCGGGCATCCGGGCACCCGGGCACCCGGGCCCGGCCACCGAATCGGCGGCGAACCCGGGCACCCAGGCACCCCCGGGCACCCGGGCCCGGCCACCGAAATCGGCCGCACACCGGGCACCCGGGCACCCGGGCACCCGGGCACCCCTGGGCCCGGCCACCGAAATCGGCCGCACCTCTCACCTAATCCTTTAATCCGCTAGGACCCCTACAGAGGCAAGCTCTGATTGGGGAACTTTGAGCTGCGCATGGTAAACTGGTGTATGAGGAGTCAATGTACGCGGCCATGGGTGCGCGTCGCACCTTCTTTCAGAGATGGAGGACCTGCGGAGTGAACGCTCGACCCGCGCGCGCTCGACTTGGCTCTTGCACAAGCGCAGGATCGGAAGCCCGAAGCGAACAGTGAGATCCAGGGAGAGTAGGAGACTGGCGAGTGTCAGGAAACGAAGGCCGCTGGCATATGCGAGGCGGTGGGAAACGCGCCAGGGACAGCCCCGACAAACGAAAAGGTACGAATCAGGGCTCTCGACTGTGACTACCAGCGGGTAAGCACCCCCGACACCCCAACGATCGCTTTGAGATGAGCACAGGCCCAGGCGAGTCTACCAGCTTAAAAGCTTTTCGAGCTCTGGCCAAGGCCGATGCATCACAGCCTACCGCGGTGCAGAGATCGCCTAGCCATGGTTCACGCATGCGCTGAATAAGGCAGGACAAATGACCTAGGCGCTCGGCAGCGCAGCTGTCGCAGCGGCAAACCTTGAATGGTGGCCGAGCTGGCATCGCAGAGGCGCGGACGTTTAAAACAACGACGTGGCGAGCGTGCTATAGCATCGTCCAAAACGCTGCACAATACTGAGTGCGACCAGTTCGCCAGAGATGGGCTTGACTCAATGGGAGCTGCGGGCGCCGCGCGCGGCTTGATGGCCACCTGTAAAGGGAATGAGTGGCGGAAGAGGGCAGGGCCGCCGCAAGAGTCTGGATGGAGGCCGAGGGAACCAGCGCAAGGGAGGCCCGTTCACGCCGGGGGAGGGGGGGGGGAGGACTCAGCGACGTTCCTCCAAAGCTCGGCGCCCAATCCTGTGCGCGAACCCCCGCGCGGGGACCCCTGGGGGCCAGGCCTTTGTAGCTCAGTGGCAGACAGCGCGGCAGCCTTCTAAACCCGAAGGTCCTGGGCTCCCCCGGCGGAGGCGATTGGCCCCCTTTCCCCTCCTCCTCCTCCTCCTCCTCCTCCTCCTCCTCCTCCTCCTCCCCTCCTCCTCCTCCTTCCTACTCCTCCCTCCTCCTCCTCCTCGCTCCTCCTCCTCCTCCCTCCTCCTCCTCCTCCTCCTCCTCCTCCGCCTCCTCCTCCTCCTCCTCCTCCTCCTCCTCCTCCTCCTCCTCCTCCTCCTCCTCCTCCTCCTCCTCCTCCTCCTCCTCCTCCTCCTCCTCCTCCTCCTCCTCCTCCTCCTCCTCCTCCTCCTCCTCCTCCTCCTCTCCTCCTCCTCCTCCTCCTCCTCTCCTCCTCCTCTCTCTCCTCCTCCTCCTCCTCCTCCTCCTCCTCCTCCTCCTCCCCCTCCTACCTCCTCCTCCTCCTCCTCCTCCTCCTCCTCCTCCTCATCCTCTCCTCTCCTCCTCCTCCTCCTCCTCCTCCTCCTCCTCCTCCTCCTCCTCCTCCTCCTCCTCCTCCTCCTCCTCCTGGGTGCCTCCTCGCTGCGGACGGCCCTGTTCGGTGGCCCCGGGGGGCCCAGAAGCGGCCCACGCACGCAAAGAGAGCTCCGAGGCAACAACAAAAACTCAGACGCGGCCCTTCGGAGCGCCGGGGGGCCCCGGGGGACGAGGGCGAGCGCGCGCGCAACGCTGGCATGGCCTGGTGGCGTGCTCGGTGTCGGCGGCGAGCGAGAGGGAAGGGAGAGGTATAAGACCTTCGCAGAAGGCGGCGGGGCTTCTCAGAAGGCCTCCGGCCTTCTGATCGTCCTTCTGTGTCCTCGGGGAAAACTGAGATCACGTCTCAGAAGGCCGGGGGGCTTCCGATTCTTCTGAGAAGGTCCGCCCCTTCTCACTTCCCCCCGGGGCTCCCCGCCGACAGTGACTGGCCCGCATCCTGAGCAAGCAAACTAGCGCAAGCAAGAACCTGCAGCGGGCGTCGCAAAGATGACGTGCAGCACCGATCTCCGAAGACCACGCCGTCCCCCCCAAAAAAATAATAGGCTTCCTCCGTGCACCCTGTCCCTGTGAGGCCGCCCCCGTTCGAGGGACCCTCCTGTGCACGCCATCCCCCTGCCAAGGCTTCCTCCGCGCACGCCATCCCCGAGGTAGGGGATGCCCGGACCCCCGACGTCATGATGTGTTCATAAAGTCGACCCCCAAAGGTCTCGACCCACTTCCCCGGTCTCTCATCCCGGGTCATTTTGTGAGGTCCCCGGGGTCCGGTAAGGGCCCCCAGAGGCTGCTTCTTGCTTCATGACCCGAAGGGGTCTGGATCTTAAAGCTGCCCCGATACGCAACACGCAACACGCAGCGTACGGATACGGAGCTCAGCACGTCGACTGAACACGTAGGTATGACGTGATACGTTCGCCACAACGTGGGCCAATACGCTGGGCCAACACGCAACGAAAACGGGCGCATCGAAGAAGCAAAGGCCTGGGCAGAGCGTGTCACGAGCGGGCCGGCGGCGCCACATGAGCGTCGAGTCAGAAACGGGCCTTGAGCAATTCCGTAGCCGTTTTGGCTCAAGGCCGAAATGGTGCTCCACGTACTGCCTCAGCGGGGTAGGCTCCCTTCCAGAGATTTTGCTTTGCGGCCACTTCAGGGGCGAGCTGCCGCCCACTTTCATATCAGACGCACACGCTGCGTGCCCAGATGGCTCCTACCAATGTTGGTTCTGGCTGGGGTCGGCCTCGACCCCCGACGTGGACTGATGACGGAACGGGACCACCCTTAGGCCACAGATGTCAGAGGTCACGGCGCGAGACGGCATCCAGCTGGTGACATACCACAGGGTGGCGCAGCCGTCGGCCATGACAAGAATACGCAGTCACGAGCTCGTAGCTGGAAATCGGTCAGACCATTCATCCAGTGCAAAGCTTGTGGTTACTTCCACTACAACGATACGCTCGATGACATGAGCTACATCTGTACCAAGTGCCACTCCAAGCTCAAAGGACACGGACGACAGCCGAAAGAACAATGGAGCTGGGACTCGTGGAACGGATGGGTACCGCCTCGATCAGATACTGCAGCGGCTGAAGCAACCTTGGCCATCTTGGGCAGCCAGCTGGGTGACTCAATACCTCCAGAAGTACAGGCAGCGCTCGCCACCATCAGATCTGCGACGGAGAAGGCCGCTGCCCCCCCCACCTGTCGCCGACTGAGGCTCTACGTGCATCAGCAGAGGCGGTTGAATCAGCGGACGCCGCGGCAAAGAAGGCCACGGACCACTACCAGCAAGCTCTCAGCGCTGTTGACACCGCACGTAAGAATATGGAAGAAGCCATCCAACAGCAGGAGTACACTAAGGAACAGCACCAACAGCTTCTCCAACAACGACTCAAGCAACAATCCAAAACTCGGCAGCAGACTGGCAAACCGGTTCTCAGTATGCAGCAGATTGAGAACAAACAGTTGGACTTCGACCTCGATGTAGGCTTCGACCTGGGCGAAATGGGCATGCCCCCTGATGAGAAGAAAGAACTCGACGGCAGGAAAGCGCAACTGGTGGAAGAACTTACCAGGGCAATCCACGGTGCCATGGGTCAGTTCTACACCAACGTCTATGACAAGAAGAACGAGCTGGACGCCATGGCGAAACGACTTGCCTCCAAACGTCCACGCACAGCTGCTGGCGAACCACCTGGACCAGTTCAGGAACCTCCTTGTGAACCTGGGCCTCCAGAGCCGCCATCTACTCCAGGAGCTGCGAGTTCAGCAACGGCCTCGCGGCCCACCCCCACAGCATCGCCCCAGTCTCAATTCGCTTAGCAAGGAGCGAAAGCGGCAGAGGAGGTGCGTGACAAGATCCGCGTCGCCAAAGCCGCCAGCCAACCATCAAGCGGGCAACAAGACGAAGAAGAGTACAAGGACGATATACACGCGAAACCTTGGCACATGGGCACACAGCACACACAGTCTTTGTCAAGCAGCGGTCGCAGGATTTTCCCCGAGCCGCACATATGATCACAAGATGCTAACGACATGTTGGATTCCTAGAATGGCGCAGGCTACAAAACAGCCCATGCCCCAGCCAAGCGCAAAGGCGGCACTCTCCGAGCAGGTGGGTGGCCATTGTATATTACGCAGACTACAATCGGCATCATTGCATCATTGAGACACTTGGCGAAGCATCCTGAACAACTTCAAGGGCCGCGTTGAGATGGACTAACGGACTCTCCTCTCATAGACTTCGATAATTCTGCCGCCATGCAGATGCGCTCGAAGGGACACACACACTCACGATCATTGGC